TCCGTATGACGGAGAGATATCACTGGGCCCACTCGGTAATGCATCATCATAATGAGCTCAAAGTGACCAAGTGTCTGGTCACGGGATCATGCATTACGGTACGAGTAAAGTGACTTGCCGGTAACGAGATTGAACGAGGTATTAGGATACCGACGATCGGATCTCGGGCAAGTAACATATCGATTGACAAAGGGAATTGCATACGGGGTTGATTAAATCCTCGACATCGTGGTTCATCCGATGAGATCATCGTGGAGCATGTGGGAGCCAACATGGGTATCCAGATCCCGCTGTTGGTTATTGACCGGAGAGCGATCTCGGTCATGTCTACATGTCTCTCGAACCCGTAGGGTCTACACACTTAAGGTTCAGTGATGCTAGGGTTGTAGGGATATGTATATGCAGTAACCTGAATGTTGTTCGGAGTCCCGGATGAGATCCCGGACGTCATGAGGAGTTCCGGAATGGTCCGAAGGTAAAGATTTATATATGGGAAGTCCTGTTTCGGGCATCGGGACAAGTTTCGGGGTTATCGGTATTGTACCGGGACCACCGGAAGGGTCCCGGGGGTCCACCGGGTGGGGCCACCCATCCCCGGGGGCCACATGGGCTGTAGGGGGTGTGCCTTGGCCTGCATGGGCCAAGGGCACCAGCCCCACATAGGCCCATGCGCCTAGGGTTTGAGGGGGGAAGAGTCCTAGGAAGGGAAGGCACCTCCTAGGTGCCTTGGGGGGGGGGGAGGGAAAACCCCCTTGGCCGCCGCCCCCTAGGAGATTGGATCTCCTAGGGCCGGCCACCCCCCCTTGGCCCTCCTATATATAGTGGGGGAAAGGAGTGACTTCATACCTTGGCCTTTGGTTACCTCCTTATCCCTCTCCAACACCTCCTCCTCCTCCATAGCGCTTAGCGAAGCTCTGCCGGAGTACTGCAGCTCCATCAACACCACGCCGTCGTGCTGCTGCTGGTGCCATCTCCCTCAACCTCTCCTCCCCCCTTGCTGGATCAAGAAGGAGGAGACATGGTTGTTCCGTACGTGTGTTGAACGCGGAGGTGCCGTCCGTTCGGTGCTAGGATCTCCGGTGATTTGGATCACGTCGTGTTCGACTACATCATCCCCGTTCTTTGAACGCTTCCGCTCGCGATCTACAAGGTACGTAGACGCATCTAATCACTCGTTGTTAGATGAACTCATAGATGGATCTTGGTGAAACCGTAGGAAAATTTGTGTTTTCTGCAACGTTCCCCAACACTTTACCCTACATAGTTTCTAGTTTTATTGGTGCTACTATTGCGTGTGACACACTATTGGCTTGAGGTTCTATGCAACACTTCTAAACATAAGTTGTAATGCAACTTAAAATTAAGAGAAAAGTTCACATTTCAACCCTGAATTAATCAGCTGGTTCGATTTACAACCCTCATCTTTAAAACCGATCACATTACACCCTCATCTTATCATGTAGTTCAATAGACAACCCTTGACTTGGTTTTGTGCTGGTCAAACTGGTTTTGATGGAGTCAAAGTTGACTAGACAGCCAACTCAGCCGCCACGCACGCACACATCCTAACCTCTCTCTCTCTCTCTCTCTCTCTCTCTCTCTCTCTCTCTCTCTTCGTTCAGCCCAGCCCGAACCCAATCCCGTCGCCGCTTGAGTCACCTGGTACAGAAAGGTCCACCGCCGGTGACCGAAGACCAACGGTGCTGCCACACTGCCGCCAGGTTCCCTTCTTTTCTTCCTATTTTCTTCTTATCTATGGCCTCGACAAGCTGCTACTGCCGCTGCCGCCGGCGAGCTACTACCGATAACCTTGGGCGAGCTGCTGTTGCTTCTGCTCTTGCGGGTGAGATGCTGCGGCTTCTGCCGCCGACGAGCTAATGTTGTTGCTAACTGCCGCCGACTTGTCGGGGTGCGGAGATCCCATCCACGAGTGCTCACGGAGTCGATGAAGATGACAAGGCTACGCGGTTGTCGTCGGGATTGGCGTTCCCATGGTTGCTTTCGCCCTGGGGGTGGGGGGTCGCGGTGACAAGGCAACTACAACATGGTTGTCGGAGGCATTGATTTATGTCTAGTCCGGCGGCAATGGCTCTGGCCGAAATTGGATGAGGTGAGGCAGCGAACCAGAGCAGAGCAGAGAGACACGAGGATGGGAGAACATAGGCTTCACAGTGGAGGTGAGAAGTCTCAGAGCTGCCCCTTCTTCGTGGATGTGCGTCATTCGCCGGTCGACGAGCTGTCATGTCGCACGATGATGGTCGCGCCTACCGTCACTAGCTAGCGCGACCGAAGGATCTCTCGAGGTAGCTGCTTCTGCCAGCCAGCTGAAATCACCGCCTCAGCACTGGTGAGACGCGCTGGCGGGAGGAGAGGCCGCGTGTTTGGACCGTGGCGGGTGTTCACATGGGTTAGGGGCGCCTAACAATGTCGTGATGCTTTCAGTATGTGCATACATCTTATAGTGGAGGAAGAAGCATATTAGATTGACATGTTGGACCCACCACTCCTTTTATTAACTTAAATGCTTACTAGAATGCAACATTGACATTGGCTCGGTCAAAACCTGCTGTTTGACCAGCCCAAAACCTAGTCAAGGGTTGTCTTTTGAACTACGTGGTAAGTTGAGGGTGTAATGTGACCGGTTTTGAAGATGAGGGTTGTAAATTGAATTGGCTGGTTAGTTTAAGGTTGAAATGTGGACTTTTCTTTTAAAATTAATGTGAACGGTTCAAGTATGGTGATCACCTATCACATTCATCAATGGCCTCGTTACAAATGTAAGCAGTTATTGGAAGGTTTTGTTGATTCTTAAAATACGCATGTAGAACAATATACTAACTCAAGCACTATAATTCTGACTTCAACCTATATAGTTGACTATTGTTTATGACATGTATAAAAGTAAGATTCAACACCATATAGAAGTGTCGATATAATTTTGGACACATTGTTTTTTCCAAAGCATTAGGTTTTCAACTCCATATCAACGGAAACGATGCTAGCTTTGAGTAATACATATTTTAACTTATTCACATTTCTTCTATAAGTCGTAATGTTTTCTTATTTCATCGGTATGTTTTTGATTTTGATGCTCCTATGTTAAACTCATTGATCATGGATAAGTTACTTTGGTCATTAACTTTTATGACACCACACTGAGATTTACTGCGAAAATTGCAATAAAAAAACAGATGGTAAGTCACGTGATATAGTGATTCTTATATGTTTGACCTTACATATTTTATGAAGTAAACAAAAAGAACATAAATGCCAAACATTGAAAACATGAAATTAAACTAGAAATAAATCCAATAAGATAGCCGTAATATAACCACGTTAAAAATCGTGTGGAAAAGAATTCTCATGAGTGCATGGTGCATTGCCATCCTAGTTGAGACCCCGATTTACCCCTCATTAAACTTTCACACTACTACTTTACATACCCTCTTAATTTGTCACAAAATGATTTGTCGCACCAACGAAATGCACGTAAACGAATAAAAACATATGTATTTAAAAAGAATAACAAGAATAAAATAATAAGTAGTTTTGCTGGGAAAGCAGTAATAAAACCACATTATTTTCCCTCAAAAAGGTGTGCATGCAACACAATCGTCGTACTCACACTAGAAATCTCAATTTATCACGCACGAAACCTCCACATAAAACAAATACAAATGTCTCCACTTTATCCAAATTGAATGAATCCAGTGGCCAAGTTTCTCTACTAAGATCCATCAGCCAAATTTCATTGCATGCATCTTAGGAAGTAAATAAAAATAACATAAATAATATACAATTGAAACAATAGCAAAATCATAAGTAATTTGAAAAAGGATAGTAATATTGACATTAAAGCTCTTCCAACAAAGGGTTAATGTGAGAACATTTTGAGCTGTCACATTCAAATCCATTTACCACCCACCTAAAAGTGAATTGAATCCCCAAACAAGCAAAAAAAATAAAAATAAAAACAAATCAAATCTCCGCTGCAGGGACGACCTAGTGGGGTTCCATGGATGCCATGGCAGCCCCTCCTAAAACGCAAAACAATATAAACCACATACTTAACGCTGGCGGTCTAACATTTTAAAGTCCACCATGAGATTATTTGTTAGGATTGCGATGATGTATCTAGAATTTTTTTTGTAGTAAATATTTTTTAGAAAATTTGAATTATTTTTAAAAAAAATCTGAATCGTTGAAGTAAACGGCGACGATCCTAGTTTTATGACCCGAGATCCTCCACTAGTCGCGGTAATAATCACCTCCGATTTGTAACGTCCTTTTTCCGGAGGCTGGCCTCTACTGTACCAGTCACGTGCCGGAGAGCGGGGCCCGTTGGTAGGGAGAGAAGAAGGGACGCGAGCTGTCGCGTAGTAGTACCAGCAGCAGCAGGGGAGTGAGTACTGTGGGCAGGTGGCAGCAATGGAGATGGCAATTTACCAACCGCCCTTTATTGATGCGGCTCAAAAGCATTGCCCAAAATCACCCGGCCAGCACGGCGCGCCACTGCAACTAGGTACTGCTACCCAGGACGACGCTTGCTTCTACTCGTACGCGCGTTGAACGCACCCGGCCCACGGTGCACCGGCGCCAAACGTGTCATTGCATCGAGCGCTCCGCTACGCACCGGTGCATGGGCCGGGCGCAGGTCACGGCCCCCCTCGCAAGGCTGGCCGCAGCCTCCTTTAACCCGGGGAGCGGAAGGTGGGCGTGGATATCTGGGAGAGGCTTCGCGGCCGTGGGGAAAACGGCCCGACACGTAAAACCCCACCCAACACAATGACCTGCCAGGCCCACGGGCCGCGGGCCCGCGGCGTCAGTGAGGAACCCGTCACGGCGTCTGTCGATCGAAAACCCCGGACCCGGGGAAGTGGGTAGGCCAGCACGGGACGCGCCTGACGCCAACGCAGCCCGCCGAGTTTCCCTGGCCCCACGCGTCCGGCCCGGATCGACGCTCCCACCCGACGGACGGCCGCGATGCGTGCGACGCATAGATGGCAAGCGCCCGTCCGTTTTTACCTTCCTGCCCTTGCCTCCGCTGCTACAAGAAGAGGGGGCCGGTGCCGGGGCCGGGGCCGGGGCACTGGCTAGGGGAGTGTTGTTCGAGGAGAGGGGAGGGGGAGAGACGAGTTCCGAAGGGGAACGGAAAAGAAAGCCAAGCCATCTCTCGCGGAGGCGAACGACAAGGCTTCCTCCCTTGCGCCCTCGGTAATGGACAAATCTAGGGTTCTAGTCCTGTAGAATAGATCGTCCTTCTCTTCGAGTTCTTGGTCGCCGGTTTCGTTGGACGGATTTCTTGGATGGGGGTTTTATTTTCCCCTCCTCCTCTGTTGCGCGTCTTCTCTTTTTCCTTGGATCTTTTTTCCCCGGCGGTGGTCATGCATTTGTGTGCATGTTCCTCAGGGCGTTGGATTTGGGATTAGGTTCCGTTCGCCCGCCTTCTCGGCGTGTTTTGTGGGGTTTCGCGCCCTTCTCTTTTTTCTTTGATTTTTCGTCCAAGAATATGATAGGTGCCACCGGTTCTCCCTTCCGGGGTTCTCGTTTGGCCCTTCATCTATTCTTCTTCTCTTGGTATTTATTTTCCACCGTTTTTTGTTAGTAATCTCTATGTGTAGGGTTTTTGGTTTTGCTTCTTGTCCTATGTCAGAGGACATACTTCATTCTTTCACAACAACAAAAAAAAATCAAACTTTTGGGTTTTTTCTTTCGAGTGAAAGAAATTCTGGGATGCTATGCGAGAGGCAGTTGAAGTGCAGGGTTTTTCGTTTTGCTTCTTGTATGTGCTATGCCCGAGGACAGTTTCTTTTTTCTCTAAAAAAGAACTTTGGGGGTTTTCTTTTGAACGAAAGAAATTCTGGGTTTTTTCAGAGGTTTCTCCTGGGCCTGATTTCCCATATGCTGGGAAAAAAATACTTCTTTTTCCCCTTGGTTTGGTCTAGTCTTGGGTACCATTACTGAGTATTTAGATGCTTTCTTTATATGTAAAATTGGGGCTTTTTGTCTGGAATTCCGGATCTCCCTTCCCATGGAGGCAAGGGGAAAACATGTCTTCTTTTTGTTTCTTGTGCCTTTGTATCTGGATTTTATTTTATCTTTCTGCCAATCTTTCCTGTATTCCTACACTTTTATCACTGTCAGATGACTGACTTAACTTGTTTGTGTGCAGCAGATCAGTTCAGCGGTTCTGCTCCTCCGGACCATTGTGGGTTTGCTGAAGTAAGTAAACTCTGTTGTCATGTTTTTTCTGTTTCAATCCTTGTGCTCTGAGTAGGACCTGCCATATGATTTCTCCCATGTTAATATTGCTGATGCCTGCGAGATGTTAGTCCTAGTTACGTTTGTGACGTACTACTACTATATTTTGCCCTACCTGATGTGATAGTAGTTGTACAATTTGCATGCTTGGTCATTACCATCCTATATAAGCATTTACTTTTGTACGAGCATCTTTTACCGATTCCCTCACTGGAATGACCTTATCTCCTTGCATAATAACAAGAAGAAAGAATGTAGTTAATCCCGTCAGAAAAGTATTACCATTGTTTATTTGCTTTAATTATTACCATTAAAATAATTGTCCAGCTTAAATCTAAGTATGTATAATAAGGAATGGAAGAAAAGGGAGAGATGCTTCTTTTTGTGCCTTTGTATTTTGAATTGATGTTTTTTTGCTTTATATATTCCTTGTTTGTTTTAATTAAGATTTTCTTTCAATAAACAGAAAAGACTTAATTATTTGGTTTGTTAATATAATCTGGGTACCATTCTTGAGTCTGTAGTGTCAATATTGTTGTTTTCTTGTGTCGGTCTGTTGAAATCTATGCCTATTGTGGATTCACCAGTCTTGCTAGGTCTACTTGTCTCCTCTGTTTCCATGGATTAAATAAAAAAATGGTTTCTTTATGTGCCTTTCATACTTGATTTGTTGTTAAGTTGTGCAATAGAACTTACATAGTCCCACTTGTACCACCTGTGTACTGTATCTGTGTTGGTCTGTTAGATAACTTGTTTCACTTGCTTTTATGAAAAACTTCTCCTTGACTTTTGAGTTGTACAATTTGTACTTGTGTACTGTTGGAAGCTGATTAACTGATGTACTGTCAGATGGAGTCGCAAGGTGATGACCTGCCACCACCACCACCACTCCCGCCAAATGCAGAGCCGATAAAAGCTGAGTCGGCTGATGACTTGCCACCACCACCACCCCTGCCGCCTATCAAACCTGAAGAAGCAAAGAAGATTTCAAAGCCTAAGAGGGCCCTGATTGCTCGTCCTGGTTTTGGCAAGAGGGGAAATCCTATACAGCTTGTGACAAATCATTTCAAAGTCTCGTTGAAGACGACAGATGAGTTCTTCCACCATTACTATGTATGCCTCTATCCTTGTTTACTTTGTTGTATGCCTCTATCCTCATTTACTTTGATTGTTGTTGAATTCCTTGTGCTACCATCTAATGTCATTCCTCTGTTGTTTAATTGGATGCAGGTAAATCTGAAGTATGAAGATGACAGGCCTGTTGATGGAAAAGGTGTTGGTAGAAAAGTCATTGATAAGCTTTCACAGACTTATGCATCGGAGCTAGCCCATAAAGACTTTGCCTATGATGGTGAAAAGAGTCTTTTTACCATTGGTGCCCTCCCACAAATTAACAATGAGTTTGTTGTGGTTCTTGAAGACGTTTCCAGTGGAAAGTAATTAACTCTCTCTGCCCTTGTCCAGTATTGTCTTTTGCTGTTACTATGTCTTCTTGCGTGTAACTTTCTTGCTTTTAGGTTGTCTTTTGTTGTTACTATGCCTTGTTGTTGCTCATGTAACTCTGTTGCTTGTAGGACTCCTGCAAATGGCAGCCCTGGAAACGACAGTCCAGGAAATGACAAGAAGAGAGTGAAAAGACCATATCAGACTAAAACCTTCAAGGTAGAGTTGAGCTTTGCAGCAAGAATCCCCATGAGTGCTATTGCAATGGCACTCAAAGGCCAGGAATCAGAGCACACGCAAGAAGCCATTCGGGTTATTGATATCATATTAAGACAACACTCTGCCAAACAGTATGTTTGTTTCTATGTACTTCTGAATGCTAATTTACCGTTCTTGATTTTTGTTCTCAGGGTTGATATAGCATGCTAAATCTTGTCTAATTTCCATGTGTATATTTCTTTGTGTTTGCAGGGGCTGCCTGTTAGTCCGCCAGTCATTTTTTCACAACAATCCTTCAAACTTTGTGGATTTGGGTGGGGGTGTGATGGGCTGCAGAGGTTTCCACTCAAGCTTTCGAGCCACACAGAGTGGGCTTTCTCTTAATATTGGTATGCTATGTCGTCAATGAGCGCAATTCTGTATATAATCTTTTGACAGCATTTTCAATTAGGTGACAGTTCATATTTACAGCTACTGCTTAATTGTGCAGATGTTTCTACAACAATGATTGTGAAACCTGGCCCTGTTGTTGATTTTCTGCTGGCCAACCAGAAGGTTGACCACCCTAATAAAATTGATTGGGCTAAGGTAAGATTTCTCCTGAACTTGCTTATGAAAACCATTGATGATATATATCTAATGTGTATGTATCTCTATATATCTAATCCTTTTTCGTTTTGGTAGGCCAAGCGTGCACTTAAGAATTTAAGGATAAAAACAAGCCCAGCAAATACAGAATACAAGATTGTTGGTTTGAGTGAGAGGAATTGTTATGAACAAATGTAAGTGAGCATATTGGCATTTGTTGTATAAATGGCGCTTAATTAATCGTTTGGACTTGTTGCATGACATCTTTGCATTGTAGATTTTATTGAGAGCACTATTTAGAAGCTTTTATAGTTTCATGCAGCTTTCATTATTTTATATAACTGCTTGGTGGTTCTTATGCCTATCTAGGTTTTCTCTCAAGCAAAGGAATGGTGGAAATGGTGACCCTGAAGCAATAGAAATATCTGTTTATGATTACTTTGTGAAGAACCGTGGCATTGAGCTGAGGTACTCTGGTGATTTCCCTTGTATAAATGTTGGGAAACCTAGGCGGCCAACATATTTTCCCATTGAGGTTTGATTTGACTATTCCTGTAATTTATATTCTTGGTTGTGCCTTATTTGTGCAATTCCCTGATGAATCTTTCTATGTTTGCCAGCTCTGCCAGCTGGTGCCTTTGCAAAGGTATACCAAATCTTTGAGTACCCTACAAAGATCATCTCTTGTTGAGAAGTCCAGGCAGAAGCCTCAAGAGAGGATGTCAGTTTTGTCTGATGTGAGTGGCTTATTTATTCTGTCTCAATACCTAGTTGTAGGTTTGTTATTAACTGTTTCATCCATGTCAATTTGGCAGGTACTGAAACGCAGTAGCTATGATACAGAACCCATGCTGAAGGCATGTGGAATTTCGATAGCTCAAGGCTTTACTCAAGTGTCTGGTAGGGTACTGCAGGCCCCCAAGGTCAGTCACAACTAACTGCTCCATATCTTATTTAGTCATTGTTTGTGCTTGTGAAATCCTTATGCATCTTTATTGAATCCTGTAATGTAGCTCAAAGCTGGAAATGGTGAAGATATTTTCACAAGGAATGGACGTTGGAATTTCAACAACAAGGTCATTGTTTTGACTGCATTCTTATCCTGCATGTTTTCATCCATAACTTTGCTAGTTATGCTTCTGCAGAGGCTTGCTAGACCTTGCGTGGTTGACAGATGGGCGGTTGTAAACTTTTCGGCTAGGTGTAACACCATGAACCTTGTCAATGACCTCATCAAGTGTGGGGGCATGAAGGGCATTGTAGGTTTTCCATTAACCTACTACACATTTCCTGAAATGTTTTTGTACTCACTCTTTTTTAAATTTGCAGACAGTAGAAAAACCTCATATTGTAATTGAAGAGAATGGTTCAATGAGACGTGCACCTGCTCCAAAAAGGGTTGAGGATATGTTTGAGCAAGTGAAGTCTAAGCTTCCTGGGGCTCCCAAGTTTCTCTTGTGTATTCTTGCTGAGAGGAAGAACTCAGATGTTTATGGTTGGTTCTAGAAATTCTTAATTGGATCCTTAAAATAAGTTTAGGGCACTCATCTGTATCATCCGGTTATGTTTCTTTTATAGGTCCATGGAAGCGAAAATGCCTTGCTGACTTTGGGATTGTCACTCAATGTGTGGCCCCAACAAGGGTCAATGACCAATATCTGACAAATGTTCTGCTGAAGATCAATGCAAAAGTTTGTGCCTCCCCCACATCTAATTCTTATTGAAACAGTGCTCTTACATTATTGTCTTCTTTGTACTAATCCTTTTTCTAATCAGCTTGGTGGAATGAACTCACTGCTACAAATTGAAATGTCCCCAAGTATACCTCTTGTATCAAAGGTCCCAACTCTCATCTTGGGAATGGATGTGTCCCATGGATCCCCTGGACAGTCTGATATACCATCCATTGCAGCAGTATGCTACTAAATTTCCTCTGCATTAGAGTACTTCCAAATCTGAGATAACACTAGTATGCACAATTCTGACAACCATTAACTGTTATGTGATGTTTGTTTCCATTTTGATTATAGGTTGTTGGTTCTCGGGAATGGCCTCTTGTCTCGAAATATAGGGCTTCAGTGCGCTCGCAGTCACCAAAGCTAGAAATGATAGATTCATTGTTCAAGCCACAAGGAACTGATGATGATGGCCTTGTTCGGTAAGATATTTTTTGTTTTTTGTTCAGTCGTCCATACAAATGTACTATGGTGGTTCTCTTGATGTTTTCTTTTCCTGTTGCTATTCTGAACTGCTTCAGGGAGTGTCTCATTGACTTCTACACCAGTTCTGGAAAAAGGAAACCAGATCAGATCATCATCTTCAGGTTTGTCATCCTTCCTAAATAACTACTTGCAAATGCCAGTGGTCAGTATTGGAGACATACCAGGGTCATTCAGTTGTATAGAATGGTTGTCTGATTTTCTTGAGGAAATGTTGATCTCTTCATTACAGGGATGGTGTTAGTGAGAGCCAGTTTAATCAGGTGCTGAACATTGAATTGGATCAAATAATTGAGGTACTGTTCATGTGGTTCTAGTGGGCCTCATATTATACTCCCTCCGTTCCTAAATATAAGTCTTTGTAGAGATTTCACTATGAACTAGATACGGATGTATATAGATGCATTTTAAGTGTGGATTCATTCATTATGCTCCGTATGTAGTCCACCTATGGAATCTCTACACAGACTTACATTTAGGAACGGAGGGAGTACTATACATGAGTATCTCATTCATCTATTGCACAACTGACTTGGTGTTTATTCTATTTGGTGCAGGCCTGCAAGTTCTTGGATGAAAATTGGAACCCCAAGTTCACGTTGATTGTTGCTCAGAAAAATCACCACACCAAGTTCTTCATTCCTGGATCTCCTGAGAATGTCCCTCCAGGTAACATACACCGCTTGTCTGCTGTATTCTAATCCCATGATGATGTCAAATTGTTCCATAATAATACTAACGTTTGAATGTTGCCATTTCACAGGCACTGTTGTAGATAATGCCGTCTGCCATCCAAGGAATTATGACTTCTACATGTGCGCTCATGCTGGAATGATTGTAAGTATTCTCTCTGGTTCATCATATTTGCATGTTAAACGTTTTGCCCTTGCGCTGTTCTGTTTGTGATATATACTGTTTCATACTAGTACACACAAAGGCCAATTTTTTTGAAACAAAGGCCAAAATTTTTGAACCATCTGTCGCCAGTATTCTCATTGTCTGCCCTAGTGCTGGTTGTTTGTGATTTATGCCATTTTCTACTGATAGAGACAAAAATTGAAAGTTTTATACGACTGGTAGTTCCCTTGATCAGTTAATACTGACCCGTCTGTTGCCTTGTTAATGGCATCTTGTTGGAACCCAAAGTTATGCACCTTGTTGGAACGATCACTGATTTACCATGATTGTTTGTGAATATTTTTTGAAGTGTTCAAATTTTGTAAGAGTATATCACTGTGGTTGATGCATTTAGCATATAATAAGTACAGTACAGTATGAGGAAAAACTCTCACTTAGAAGTGGGCATTTTAATATCTTATTTGTGTAAGTTGGTATTGGATCATGTGCATTTCATCCAGCTCTTTTTGCATCCTGGGCATGTCGAATCTTGCTTGAATGACTTGCAGTTGTTTTGGTTAGGCCTGGCTTTCAGTTGTAGTGTTGTTGCTTGTACCATTGTGACAATTTCCAGTTTGTTGACGTTTTGACTTGATAAAGCTAATCTTATTTGTGTGTTGCAGGGGACTACAAGGCCAACGCACTACCATATCCTACATGATGAGATACACTTCGCCGCGGATGACCTGCAGGATCTTGTGCACTCGCTCTCGTATGTGTACCAAAGGAGCACAACAGCCATATCAGTTGGTGAGTTTTGCATTTCTGTGTTTGTTTTTGCATCTGCAAAGCTTTCGACTGTTGTTAGTTTTGTGAATCCTGTGCTGATCTTTGCAACCTTGTTGTGCTTCCTTGCAGTTTCTCCAATCTGCTATGCACATCTTGCGGCAGCTCAGGTGGCGCAGTTCATAAAGTTTGATGAGATGTCAGAGACGTCGTCGAGCCAGGGTGGTGGCCACACCTCTGCCGGCAGTGCCCCAGTGCAGGAGCTGCCTCGCCTCCATGAGAAGGTCCGTAGCAGCATGTTCTTCTGCTGAGCCAGCCCGCCAGCCTGCTGCACTTGCGCGTTCCAACTTCGAAACTGCTGTGCGGACGACGCACAGCCTGCACGACAAGGAAACGATGGCTAATCCATCCGTTGGCCCCACTTTAGTCATATGCATGGACGGCTTGATTTAGTTGTCGTACACAAATCGTCTTCAAAACATCGTCTGCATAGCAGTGCTCTTCCAACTTTTGGTTATGCGCTTGGTTATCTAGTACTAGTAGTATGTGGTAGTGGCCTGTGATGGCCTGTTGGGACTCCTGGTATGTTGCGTTCCTAAGCTGGTTGCCGCACTTGGTGCCTCAGAACCTTTGAATCCTGTTAGGATGCTGCTGTTGAACCTTTACTATCAAACCATCTAATTTGCTGCTTTCCATCTGCTTGCTTGCTCCGTTTGTTTTTCTTTCTGTTTGTTTAGTGGTCTTGCATGGAATAGTGGGTAGGATGAGCTACCTTACCTTGTGTGCTGTTTCATGACTAGAACTTCTTAAAAAAATCCATCCTACTACTTGGCAGGCTGCCATGAGATTGTTTCTCTAGGTAGCTCGTTACTGTTAGAAGCTGAAATAGGCAGAACATGGCACTCTTCTTTTGCGCACTCTTACTGAATCTGTTAGGCTTGGGCATATTGTTAGGTTGTCCATTGGTCTTGCAATTCACTTGGTTGTGTTGTGACTTGCAGCTATACATTTTGGCAAATCAGAGCAATTGATGTGTTTGTTTGTTTCCTTTAGTTCGTTTGCACTTTGTCTTCCAAATTTTAGGAAACGATTACAGAACAAGAAAATCACACTAAGTGGTATGCAGCCGTCAACTCAAGGAAGAGTTTGACCCAATGCTTAATCCCAATTTGATAATTTCCCTATAAATTAATCTTAACCTCCAGGGTTTTGAAGTCCTCCCTCCAAAATGTACACATGCAAGATTAATAGCGACTTGCATTTTGATACGTTTTTTATGTCCTGTGTGAAAGCAAAAAACGTCTTACATTTTTGGTAAGGTTGTAACACCGATTGTCTATAAATATAAGTAAAATCACCAACCTCTCACAATGTAGGCCGTTAAAACTCTCCTTCCGAGGCATGGATTGTATGCCTCTTAACGCATGCTTCTGCTGTTGTAATATCTTCAAACGGACTGCTTGCATGATCATTTTTGCGTCCTCATCTAATTCCTCCATCTTCAAGGTGAGCATCTTCGCCTCCTCCGAAGTGGCCACGATCTCCACCTTCCGTACCTTCTCATTAAACATGGGCTTCTTCTCTTCGAGCATGGCCTTCTTCTTTGTGAGCTTGATCTTCTTCTCGGCCTTGCATGCCTCTTTGATGTATGTTTCATCTTCTTTGCCATTATGTCTTTGAACTTCTCCGTCATCTTGGTCGCCACACCTTCTCGCTTTGCCCTCTCCTCCCACTTCTTTTCCCGGAAGCCTCTTCTAATCTTCTTAGACGGTTCTTTTGTTGGGTTGGTTGGACCACCGGTTTCTTTCTCGGTGCCATGGGTGACGGTCTTGGCAATGTATAGGTTTCACCTTGGTCTTCCATTCAACTTCAACCAATAATGCATGACAGTGAACTTTTTTCTTCTCCAACTTCAAGAACACACTACAAGCACGAGAAGACTACAAAATATAACATTGTCAACAATGCATATCCTGCTACAAACTTTTCTTCTCCAACTTCAAGAACACACAACAAGCACGAGAAGACTACAAAATATAACATTGTCAACAATGCATATCCTGCTACAAACAATGGATATCTCTGGCTACAAAACAATGCACATCCAACTACAAATGATCAATAAAACAATGCATATCCGGCTACAAATTATCAACAAAACAATGCATATACGGCAAGTGATCCACAAAACTATGCATATCCGGCAAGTGATCTACACAACAGTGCATATCCGGCTGCAAATTATGCATATCCGTCAAAATGATCTACAAAATATGCATATCCGGCAACAAATGATTAATGATCTAAGAAACTATACATATTAACAACTTACTTGCTCGGTGCTTTGCGCACCACTTGGCCACAGTGTGATGAGTTCTCTCATGTGGCCGCAATACTTTGACATGGCCTCTTGGATGGTGTCCCATTGATGGTTGAGGGACTTTGGTTCACGGTTGCGGATGACCGCGTCGGAGTAGGGCTCGAAATGCTTGTGTTCACCAAAAAGTTGTGTCCTTCTGCTCTGTGCCATGGATCGGATCAAGGAAAGTGCCCAACTGCGCGTCGCACAACAACTCGTCCTCCCGCATGTTGAAGCTTTCTCCTCTACCCCTCCTCTTTGGATCGGTAGTATATTCATCCGAATCATCGTCCTCACCCTCCTCCTCATCCTCCTACTGTCCGGCAGCCCAATCCTGCTGTTGTGTATCCATAGCCGGCTGGGTGTAGCCCCGCTGCATGCCCAACTAGGTGAACATGCCGGGCTGCATGGGTGTACTGTGATCCTGGTTGGGAGTATGCGCTGGCCTAGGTGGGCTCCGTGTCATCCACCTACCCATTCTCGTAGCAACCTCCTCTGTCTCCCTCGTGGATGATGTCGAACATCTCCTTGTCCACGTCGTCGTATGCCAGCTCGCCAGCTTTAGGCATACCAACGAACAATGTGCAGGCACCCAGCTGTGCCACGGCGGATACCTGCGTCCGGACAACCTGCGGCGATCAACACTCTAGGAAAAGCAGTGGAGCCGCGTTGACGTCGACGATGAAGGGCACTTGCCCAGCGGCGGATGCCGTGGACTGTCTACCTAGCTGCTTGGCGGCGTAGTAGTACAGAGCCTTGTAATGGTCCGTCCATGGCGGTGTCTGCACAATCGGCGAGGCCCGACCTACACCACATCCATGTCCAACACGCTTACTGCCATGCCCACCACCAGCATGCCCTCCACCGGCCTTCGGCTTCTTGAGCGTTTCCACCTTTGCAGCCTTCGCTTTCACCCGGCGATTTTGTAATGTTGTCGAGTTGATCTTTCGGGCGAGCATGATGCTCGGATCCTCCACCACCCCCGTCTTCGGCAGGTTCTCCTCCAGGTCCATGCATCGGCGGTGGGGAGGAGAAGAGAGTGGGCGAAAAAGGGTGGGAATTGAGTGGAGAGCGGCGAGATGGAAGAAGAGAGTGGAGGATTTTACCGTGGAAACAGTACGACCAGCTACAAAAGCGCGGGCTCTGCCTTAGTTTTGGGTGGACCGGGGATGTTGGAGTTGGCTTGTGTATGGACTCCCGCAAAGCACCCCCATGTCTGGTTCTGGTTTTTGGGAAAATTGTGGTCTGGAATGTGGCGTGAACCGATGGGGGCCGGCGTTGAGTGGTTTGCGGGGTTTGGATAACTGTGTCTGGCCAGATAAAGGTGATTTGAGGGTTGACGGTGGAGATGCCCTTAGCATCACGTCATAAATTATGGTTGCCATAACAAGCCGAGATGAAACGAGTGAATTTTATTATAATAATTATTATTTTAAAAAACTTTACCTCCACCACATTGATTACCAGGTTGAGGAGTTGGGAAAGTGTATAGCGAGTATTGCATATGGAAGAGAAGAAAACAACATGAGTTGTGATGGTGGAGCCAGGGGGTATGGTGTAGACGATTGAGGATTTGGCAGTGATCAAGGGGGCAGGGCAAAAGAATTAATTTTGGGGGGTGGACAAAAGTTATGTGCAAAGAGTGTTGGCGACGATGAAAGATGCTTGGTGGGGCTGCATAAAAAATATGATCAAAATGAATGTAATTGTTGACAGAAGCGAACAAGTTAATTATAAATAGATAGTAAAAAGTAAACATAAAATCACATCCTTCACTTGCCTAAAAACAAGAAAGAAGTATTTCACCCAATCCCTGTAGATATTATCCCTAATAATCCCCTAAAAGATTCTAGTACCAAACAAGGCCTAATGGTGTGGAATATACTAGTGGATGGGGGCGCGCCTCTTGTGCGATCCTTTGCGCACCTGCCTTGTTGGTGCAGTTGTGAACATGCATATGCAGGCTAGAGGAGCTCAGTTGTTAAAATATAAATAGAGTTAACACAAGTTCAGAAAAAAAAGTGTTCAATCATCAGATATAGCAAGGTAATCAATCCATATTATCAGACAAGTGACAGTCTTACAAGGTGGAAGGTAGAGCACAACTATGGATTGAAATCAAAGCCTAACATGCTCCAAAAGGCATCACTGTTTAGGCATCACATTAAGTGCGCACTAATCAAGTTGTCGTAATTTTTAACGTGTTGACAGTACAGGTAAGTCACATTTTTCATGCTTTGCATCTCTCTGTCAGGTTTCTTCTGAGGCTTATACATAAGAATTTCACAAACAATAGCAGATCCTAGAAAAACTTTGGCATGGCTGTTCTACATCACATTCATACACCTTTTATCAAGATACCCAACAAATTAATATCCAAACCAAACATACAAAAGTTACTCCATGCGTCCCAAAATAAGTGTCTTTGATTTAGTATAACTTCAGTACAACAAAGTTATACTAACTCAAAGACACTTATATTGGAATAGAGGCAGTACTATCTTGTAAATTAATATCCAACCACACATATACAACTTACTAACCTATAAATGAATAGGAAATAAAAATCCATGTATAATCACATGAAGCATCAAGACAAAAGTATTGGTGGGGAACACACACCTTATGAACCCAAGCTGAGCCGTGGGTGTTCGTCATATCCATTGAAACAAATTAGAAAATGTAGGGAGCACAATCCATATATGTCCTTGATAGGAACCGAGATCCTACCAGGGAGTGCCCTCAGGTTGTAGGGATGGAAGGGAATTTGGCGCGGCGAGGGGCGGGAGCGGCGGCGCCGTGGCGCCGTGATCGCGCGGGGGAGAGGGAGACGCAGGTGGCTGCTAGGGTTTAGGGTTCTCGGCTCCTGAAGGGAGCCGAGCAATAGAGATGACTTATTGCTTAATTCCAAAACGAGTCCTTACAAGTGTTCATATAATCCTCCTATGTGCT